CCAAGGAACAAACTAAGAAATAATGGGGACGACGATCGCCATTACCGGGTTTAAATAAATCAACGATCCCCGATGTCCATTCTGGCTACGCACAGGTAACGGTGCTTCGATTTCGTGCCCATAGATTCTCCGTTTGAAGCGTAATGATTTTATTAGCCGGCGTACGCGCCAATTTACGTAAATACGCACGACCACTTTTTCCTATCTGGTGCACACGGGCCTGTGGTGCACCGTAATCCGTTCTCTCTGGTGCACGAGAGGAGAACTTCTTCGACCGGTGACTCGTTAAACGCAACTTGTAACTCGGTACCAATTTACTTTGTACCCGATGTACACGGGCGATTTAATGCGTTCTGATGCTAATAAACCGTTTCCGCGGCATCGGTACGCGGCACCGTACTCACGATAATCGTCAGATGCGCACAGCTTCGATCTGACCGCGTATTTCGTCTGGCAGAACGATCGATTAAACGCTGGGGAACCAGAGGAGGTGGATTAAGATCCCGGAAAGGGCTTCGAAATAGAACGAATGCAGGAGGATTGTATCTATATTAAAAGCGGCACGCAGATCTTAATCCTTTAGGTATACATAAACTACCGGCCAAAAGTTTGGAATCACCGAGCACTGCAATGTACAGAAAAATTTGCAGATAAAAGTCGAGCGAGTTTGAGAATTTTTTATCGTTCGAATCAATTGATATGAGACAAATTGATAAACTTTAAATCTATGAAAAATTAGCAGCAGATTTAATGTTGACGAACAGTGGGAGGTGATTCCAAACTTTTGGGCGGTAGGAGTCATACGCTTGGCCCTTTAAATTTTAAATAACCTGTGTTTGAGAATTTTAAATAATTGAAGTCAGTGAAATTTTTCTTCCTTTTGTTTTTTGAGATAACTTCTGTATGAGAGTGAAAGGGTTAATGAACAATTATGGAATGTGAAGAATGTGGATTCGAAGAGTAGAGATTGTCGGTAAGATTGATTGTACGGTTGGAAAAATTATTTTTTGCGAGATATTGACTTTTCAATTTCAAAGGAAAATTTCTCAGGTCTCAAAGGGTTAATACAGAATTACAGAATCTGAAGAATGTTAATGTCACGGTCGAAAATTCTTTCGTGAGATATTATCTCCCAAATGAAAGTTAAAGAAAATTTCTCAGGTCTCAAAGCGTTCATAAAAAATTACAGAATCCAAAGAAAATGTTTACTGAGAGTAAAGCTTACTCACGGTCGAAAATTCTTTCGTGAGATATTATCTCCCAAATGAAAGTTAAAGAAAATTTCTCAGGTCTCAAAGGGTTGATAAAGAATTGCAGAATCCAAAGAATATCGTTCTCACTGTCCAAAATTATTTTTCGAAATATCGATTCCCAAATGAAAGTTAAGGAAAATTTCTCTAGTCTCTAAGGGTTAGCAAAGAATTACAGAATCTGAAAAATAATAATACCACGTTCCAAAAAATTTTCTCCGAGATACTGTCTCCCAAACGAAAGTCAACGAGAAATTCTCCGGCCTCAAAGGGTTAACAAAGATTTACAGAATCCAAGAAATATCATACGTTAACAAAGAATTACAGAATCCGAAGAACGTTAATGCCACGGTCGAAAAATTTCCCAATAAAGCTCAAAGAAAAGACTCATTTCTCGAAGAGCCACCAAAGAATATCGTTCCCAGGAGTAAAGATCAACCGCAATCCAAAAAATTCAATTTCAAAATATCGACTCGCAAAAGAAACTCGATAAAAAAATTGCACAAGTTTCCAAGGGGTTAATGAACAATTATAGAATCGAAAGAATGTCGTCCGCAGGAGTAAAGAAGATTGCCAGTAAGGTTAATGCCACGGTCTAAAACATGAACCTACTCCGTTTCTCCTTTCCCGGTTAGACAAGCTATCTTCTACAAGCTGAGACTATTACAAGAATAGCTCGATACTTGAAATGTCCCTGACACGGATCGACGTCGAACCAGCTCGAAAATTTCACCGTAATAATTAATTGACCAGCATCCAACCACTCGTGAAGCGTTCTCTATTCACCAGTCACAGAGAGAACGAGAGAGAAGGATCGTGTAAGAAACGCCTAATTTATTATTCTCGACTACTCTCGTATCATTAATTTCTCCATGCCTAAATAATTACTCCGCGCTCGCGTTACCTCTTCGCACTAGTTTTGCACACCCACGCGGTTATGCAACGCTCGTTCGCTGTATTACAAAGAAAGTTCTGTCGTTTCTTTTTTTTTTTTTTGTCCTTTATTTGTCTTATGTTATAATAATTCTCACTTTTCTGATAATTTTCCTAATTGTGGAGATGAACGTTTTTTAGTTTAGAGTTAAATTTAATTTTCAAATAATTTTTGATTATCCCCTTCTCCTTTCTGTGTATAATTCTTCAATTTTAATTTACAAAATTATCGCTTAATGATAATTCTGAAAATTCTGGAGATCCAAATTCTTTACTTCAGAGTTAAATTTAATTTTTAATTTATTTCCGATTATTCCCTCCTCCTTTTCACCTATAATTTACCTTCTTCTTTAATTTGTAAAATAAGCACAGCCTTCGTTTAATGATGATTCTGAAAATTCTGGAGATCCAAATTCTTTACTTCAGAGTTAAATTTAATTTTTAATTTATTTCCGATTATTCCCTCCTCCTTTTCACCTATAATTTACCTTCTTCTTTAATTTGTAAAATAAGCACTCAATTTTAAAATTAATTCTTCGTTATCCCCTCCTTCTCCGGTTACACTCAGCCTACTCCACTTAAAAAGTGAAAATTTGCCCATTCGTGATCTTTGACACAAGAGCCCACGCTGTGATTAAGAAAGACAACGAGACAAATTTAATTGAAACGAGTACTCAGACATTTAGCCGGCCACTTAATATTTCTCTGAAACGAGCTTCGTCATTTCGTCGAAGTTTCTTTGTCTCACGGAATGTTTCATAATTATTATTCATCAGGGACGGGATCGTGGAAGAATAATAGTCCCGATTCCACGGCTTGTTTTTTGAAGCAAGGGTTTTCATTCAGAGAACAATGGAACAACACCGGTGTGTTGTTCCACGGTCGTGTATGCAACAAAATGGAAATAATAAAGTATATATGTAATCGTACGCGAGAAAACTTATACGGATTTTGCATTCGGAGAAAAAAGATTAAAAATTAACAAAGTCTCCTATAATTGCTATTATAATTGGTATATACCAAAGATATAATGATCCTTCGTTTTTTCTTCTTTCCACCAAATACAATTACGTTCCCTTGTATTATTTCATTAACACATTCGTATGGCCTGATTTGTTAGTACAGTTCCGTGCTCCTCTTTTACACATGGCGAACGTGTGTGAATGAAATGGCTCGTCTCGTTAAGCTTTCTGTTTTTCTTTCCTTTTTTTTCACGGTCGAAAATGCATCTCGAGGGACGTCGTCAGATATCCAGAACCGGTGAACGAAGTCCAAACGAGATCCTGTCGTCGTCATCTTCGGGGAAATGGCCGAAAAATAAAGAACGCTAATGTCTTGTGTTCGCGTGCGTGAAAGCATCTCGAGTAACGTGTGCTTTCTGTGTCGATATACCGTCTTCTAATTCAAATACTTCTAACTGTATCTTCACGAAAATATTTCAATATCCGTTCCCTCTAAAACTAACCTTTCTTTACGAACAAATTTTATTCTATATTTAAAATTTATTTTTTTCAATTAGAATCATCCCCTTTGCGTCTATATCGTCGCTTTTGGAACACCTTGTACATGGTTCTTTAGTAAAATATCGAAGTGTTAGTAATAACGAAAAAAAAATTCTACTACGCATGTGCACAAATGGTGGCAGTATTTTGTACTTCGGTGTAAAACTCGCGAAAAGGTTAAATCGCTGTTAGAGAAAGAAAAAAGATAACGAGGTTATAAATGTTACCTGAAATGATTGTTCAGTCACACGTGTTCCGCGTTCAACTGTCCCGGTGCATGGTCCAAAGGGCACTTGAGATTAAATTGAAACACGAACTAACACGACGGTGGCGATGTTAAGTTTCATTGTTGAAATTGCGTGGAACTGTCGCGAATTTCGTTCACCGAGGCCCCATGAGAGAAGAGAGACATTCGTTGACGCGATCCGCTCTTTAAGACGACCGGAGGTTTACTGACACCGGCGCCTCCACCTGCTCGTAATGTAAGCCAGGTTTCAGTTTATCCTGTGATGCGTCACGTAGAAGGGGCAGAAAGGACAAACGTGAAGAGCACGTAGTCGATATTCAGCGGTTTTCTTTACCGTTCTGCATGTAGAATAACCACGGGATAAACATCCAGTGGTAGAACTAGCTTTCGGAACGAGCAATCTTCGCCAGTGACGCGAAACGGCTGCAATAGTTATTGCAAAGTTGTCGCCGAAGATTCAACTGACGGATAGAAACTAATGTTGCATCTCGAATTGATCTCAAACAACGTTTTTAAACACGTTTGGTCGATTCTTATGAGGTTTTCTTAGGGAGAATGCGACGACGAAAGGATGACAGATTTGCGACAAGCGCGAATTCGTGCTACCGTAGTTGGCAAAATGACGCAACATTTTTTACGCGTAATTTTAGAGTCGTAGATTGTTGAAATAACTGTAACCGTTTTATTTACGATGCACTGCATGTTTTTATGCGATTAAAAACTGACAATCGTTGAACAATAAAATAAACATCGATAGAAGATAGATTTTTTACACACTTTTCGTACAAGCCACTCATTACTTTCATATTAAACATGGCCGCCAGGCGGCGTATGTTACCGTTGGCATGGAGATTTGGCGGGAAAAATGTAATATAGATCGAAGATGGTGGCGCTGTTACGTAAATTATCGATCGTAGTAATATCAACCATGGTAACGAAGAATTTTACCACAAACGAGATATAAAATAGATATATCAACACAGACGTAGAAGAAAGTGACAGATTATCCTATACTTCGTTTGTGCTATTTCTTCACAAAATTAATCTTGTAGTAGAAAACTAACTTACCTATCAAAAGTAAGACTGTCCTGTCCATAATCGCAGCGATTGCACCCACTGCATCTCGATGATAAATCTGTCTCTCGATCGGTATCGTCTGAGCGACCGTGATCCTTCCGATGGTCAGCCACGATGCTCCACGTTCTATGGATAAGGTAGAACAAGTAGAGCGACTTGCCCCGTCGGCAAGGTTGGGATCTTGTGTTACCCATTCTGCCTTCTGTCGGTAATCTTCGATCTCTTGATCTAGTTCTCTCATGTATCCCTCAGAGCATGTTTATAAATGCATTTTATATATCAATCTTCTCTCAGATCGATCTTTAATTCAATTTTATCAATTTTGCCTTCCACTTTCTTCTTCTTTACTTCATACGCAAAAAGCAGATTGTTTTCTTTCTACGTTCAGCGAAAAATTCTAATTATTTTACCTCCTGGTTTTTGACGGTCGATTTTTAACCTTGATTTCTATCCTCCCTTCTTATCTGTTGTGTCGAGTCTTCTCTATTCTTCTTGTCCACTTGCTCTCGCACGCTGGCTAAAAAAGTTAACGATATGCACTGCACGCAGAGTGCTTTTTGTCGTTCCCCCTTCAGCCGTGGCAAGATTTTTCCTTGTTATCGGGCCAGATATCTCGCCCGATACACCCACATTCCTCGGACAATGAGGAATTTTTCTCGCGCGATGTCTCACCGATATCTCCCTATCTAAGGCATTGTCCCCCCCCCTTCCCCCGCGATTCTACCTTGCGTAATTACGGGCCTGGCCAACCTCTCGAAGGGAGCGTTTAGAAAATATATTCCCGCGTACCTACGTCTCGTCCTCGGGAGGTTAAAAGCGCGCCTTTTACGACGCGACTTTATTAAGATATCGCCGCGGATGCAGATTCATAAATTGTCCCCTTAAGACTTTAACGCGGTTTTCTATGCTCTTAGCTAGTTTACATACCAGACACCATCTTTATTGTGCAATATTTTCAAACGCACACGCACGCACACGTACACGTACCAGCGGTGAATCTTGATTTTTTCGTTCAATTAAGAATTTCTTTAATTAAACCACAGCTGAGATGCAATTAAAGCTGCGTTACTGATACCGGTACACGTGTCCTTGTCATGTTTTACGCGACACATTATCCCCGTGTTCTTAACGTAATTAATGTCACTGTCGCCGGTAGCTCGACGATTCCCACACTTGTTCACCGCGTTTGCGCACACGTATGGAAAAGAACAGGCTCCCTCGAAACGCAACCTGCCGCAAACGGCCATTCATCTTACCGAGTGTAGTTCGTTAGATGTTTCGTCGTGAAAATTTCTCGCGAACAAATCGTCTCTTACTGTAGTTATTTTCAATAACGTCGAATTGATTCGATTTATCATTGTTTCACGGTAATTTGTCGCGACAGGAATTTCATAACACAATCACGAGAATCAATTGGTCACTGAATGAACCGTAAACGCGAAGCTCTTACTGATTAATCGAGGAAGACAGGAACGATCGCGTGCCGTGAACTTTAGCAAAAAACGTGGCAGACGTTACGACCATAGAACCCAGTGATCTACTGACACGTGAAAAATCGTTGGAACCGTTATTACACTGCGTTAGACTGGCTCGTCTACACGGGGAGCATTTTTCTACCATTTATGGCCGGCCGATTTCTTGCACCTTTCTTTCGCAGAACTGTTATTCGCGATGTGACTTGATCGTGTTTTCACTCCGATTCCGTGTTCCGTATAATTCAAATCAACCGTTCCAACTGTTACCGATAGAAATTCAACGCAGACGAAAATTTGACAAATTTTTCTCAGCCTCCGGTTATGTACGTCGTATAGACGCTCTTAGTCGCAATATTTACCAATAGAACCGACACGAATGCCAAACCCGACACGCACTGTGTACACCCGTTCCAATCGCTCGAACGGTCTCGCATGAGGTCCCCTCCCCCGATCGGTATCGTTGCCTTAATTGCACTAAATTTCTCCCCGTAGAACACTGTATACGTAAAAGGTAATCACTAAAGTCCAGTGAAACTCAGCGAGTCTCCCGGACAGTCCCGTAACTTCTTCCTCATACACCAGAGAATCACATTTCACTTTCTTCAATGTCCCTGTCACGCGTCACCGCTTCGTCGACACTGTGCTTCGTTCGACGTGTGCTCTCATCGGTTCTCGATCGTCGGTTATTTTACAGCGGACGGTGAATAATTCTCTTCTCCTAGCGGAGAAATTCCAGCGTGTACGCGAACGCACCCCACGGGTGCATCGAAAGGTCGGTAAAAATGTTTGCACGAGAGGCTGGAGAGGCATTCACCGGGCGGGTTTCAACAGCCGACTGCCAACTCGTGAATGCCCCGAGGTGCACGTGTGAGCATCGCCTCTCTCCGTCGAGCCTCTCCTCTACATCCCGCCTCACCGACGTCCAGAAAGATTCTCTCGGACTGTGGGTCAAGCCACGACCTACGTTGTGCTCTGAACTCAGTGGCCTGTAGGTAATAAACAGAGCCATCGATTCGACACTGGGTCAGTTTACTTCGTTCAGCGGGTACACAATCGTAAAGAATTTCGGAACGCTAACTCACGGACGTTTCGATCGAGAAGCGATGAGAAGGAATTAATTCGCGTATCTATGAATCTTCTTGCAACATTTCGAATAACGTGTCAGCTTCTGTAATCGTTTAATCTATGGACTTGAATCTCATGTTTAAGATCGACGTGGTTGATAATGTCTGAGATAAATTTGTCGTTCAACCGGTAGCCGTTTGAAGTAGCATTTTTAACGGACGACAAATGAAGTTCTCAGACGTCGCAATTTTTCTAAGACAGTGTGTAATCTAGTTAACGACTATTTGAATTGCAAATTTATGCTAAATTTCCGTGTAAAAGAATTCGTTTGAAACGAGGTGTGTTTTCAATTTGCAAGTGCGAAACAAGGAAGATCTATTTTTCTACCGCGATTCTTCGACGTTGTTTCAAAGTTCCATCATTCCATTTAATCTTAATTTACCCTCAACACGAAACACGTTAATTTTTCCGGTTTTGCCGGTAGCCGGAATGGCAAACGTGTAATTTCCCCGGACGAAAAGGAACACTGTGCACGAAGAAATTGATTTCGGAACTGGTTGTTTGGTTATGTTCCCGGAGAAAGTAAATTGTTCCTCGTACTTGACTCGACAAAAAATACCTCTCTCGCAGGCAAGTCTACAGCATCGCGGTAGTTTTCTCGATTTACTGGCCTCGGTTGAATTGGCCGGCTCATCGAGGTAAAAGGTGAAATTCCAGGCAAGCCATCTTCTTCTTCTTCTTCTCCGTAAAACCTCTCGTCCGTGTGTATTAATAAGACGTCTCGCAAAATCGATACTTCCTTTCCCGCGTGTAACTCGCATCCTGCCAGTCGACTTTTTTAACTCACATGGTAATCATCCGAGATTCGAGTTATCGTGATACGTTTTTCGTGGATCAAATCCGTTATAACCTGCGTCTCGCGGATTTTATAGTTACCGTGAACTTCTAATGAAAGGTAATCAAGTACCGGTGCTGAAGGATGGGATTTGCGTGGAAGCACGGTTTTCATGACTGGAAATGGGTCTCCGGTGTGTAACAAGCGCGCTAGAAGACCCCTTTAATCAACGAAGCGAAGGAAAAGCCGAAGAAAAACCATGTTTTCACTTGGACGATTTATTGTCGCGGTTCAACGTTTGTTGTTAGACAGTTGGTCATCTTGATGATAATCGATCATCCTCCTTCGCTTCACAATATACCGTTTAATCGGTGAAAAGTGTTTCTTATCGATTACTGTACACTTTAATAGCTCAGTCTTTCATCACGGATGGATGAATATTTTCCGATGTTCGTAGTATTGTAACTATTCAATTGAATGCAATTCTAAAAGTATTACTTTATCGAAGAATTGCTTATTTAATGGTTATATGATTACTGCATAGGTTAGATACATAATTGAAAACGACACGATAGATCAAGTGTCAGGTTTGACCCGGGAAATTTAAAAAGCTCAAATGTTAAATTTGCACATTTTACGTATTTTCTTTGGGACCGTTATAGAATACATCCTGCTGTAATTTTCTTTTTTTTTTTAATGTAACAATTTGGTACAAAAAAATACATGTTTGTAATTGAATAAATTACGCGTGATTTTAAACAGGAACTTATGGAGAATAAGATATTTTTGAAAGTAAATACCTTTCCTACCTCGCTTAATCGATTAATGTAAATCCCGTAGCGGAACCAACAGGTTTCGCGTTTAAATAGTATCCTAGAGAAGTGTAATCCCGTCGTCGACAAATTCAAAGTAAGGAAGGTTCCTTGTACATTCAGATTGGATCTTTGAAACGGATTAGAGCGTTCGGTGCAAAGAGATAAGTGATTGCACTCGTGTATCATTCGGTGGAAAGAAACTGTACTTGCTTCCGGCTTCTTGTGCAATGTCGGGAACATGGAAACGGTATGAATGTACTAATGAGATGGGTTTTTGTAATTATTACCGGTGGGCTCGTAATGCTCTTGATTAATAATGTCACCGAACTCGCAGATTTTCCACCTTGTTACTGTAAATCTTCTCCCAATTGTATGTTTAACCGCGTTTTTTAAACTCTGTTATACATTGTTAACAAAGTGGAACCGGAACTGTTGGTTATTTATATGATCCACTTTTTGATTATTCGTCTCTCTACTAGCTTATAGTTATTCGAACTTCAAGGTTTTCTGATTCAGCTCAGTTTCTATTTTATTCAGTTTTCTAGCTTTTAAGTCGTTTCTAAAACCTTCTTTTTTATCATTTTTCCACATCCTCTTGAAACATATTTTTTCTTATTTTTTTACACTTTTATGTATCATTCTTTTTCTAAATATTTGTCTCCTCTATCTATTTATCATAATACATGCAACAATTAGTCCCGAGAAACCTTGGACATTCTCTGTACGCACAAGCCGCAGTCGCATTTTTACCCCGGCGAGTGGCATTCGATTGAAACGTGCAAGGTGTGAACACTCTCGAACTGGAACACGAGCTTCAAGGTAAAACTTCCATTTTCATTGGACGAGCGATCCGTGGTAACCTTTGCGTAACCGTGTCGTGAATGAAAGCTCGATCCTTTCACGCGAGGCAGTGACCTTTCTTCATGCAAGATGGATCTTTTAGTATCGGAAGCGTTAGAACTTGGCTAAGCTGCTGGTTAATCCTCGTGGGTCAGGATGGATCCTTGGAGTATATACACGGCGATTCTACTGGGTCAGATTCACGCTTGACCTGGGCTGAACGGATACTTGTAACCATGTATCAAGCGGCAAGAACACCGCTCCTTCCGGATGCTTGCGCAATGTCGGGAACAAGGAAGCTACGAAAGAAACGATAATTATTGGAGTCTACCAGAAGCGAACCAAGGAAAGTCAACGAAATCGTCGAAACGTTCGTCGGTCGACCAAGAGCTTTTGCTTTCGTATCTTTAAGAATTTTTTGTAAAAAAATCAATAAGACTGTAGCAACCATGTTTTGCATATACATTCATTGATATTTGAGCTACGTATAGAAAAACATTCTAGCCCTTAGTTTAAGATTCTGTTTCATTAAAATGTACATATATCTGCGAGACCTTGAAATCCAACAGATCAGAGTTTCTCACTCTTCGCAGCGGAATATCTCGTTAAGCTGCTGGAAGATAATGATCGTACGTTTCTTTTGCAACTCGATCGATCCTCCTCGCTCGATCGATTATAAACGTTTCTTCTTCTTCCTTTCGCGTCGTTCGTGTTTTCAGAATTATCACGTGATGAATAACAGAGGTGAATAAGAATCCGCAGATTGCCGTCTTTTTTTCATACTGGAAGCATGTCGAATCAGCACCATAAGAAGATATTGTTCGAAAATTACAGTGAACCAAGCGGGAACTTGGGTCCCAATGGGCGGCGTTTATTACACCCGTTCAGACAGTAGGGTTGCGTAAAATGAAGATACGATTCCACGAGCAGAAGCAGTCTGGCAAGAAAAGGATGCGTAATATCTATAATACTCGTGTGACCGTGGTTTGGCATTGCTACGTAGGTAGTAGTGGTACGTACAGAGAGGATCGTGACTGGGAATTACATAAGCCACTCCGGAGAAAGATTGTCCGCTAGAAAGCATGTCAATGTGGCAATCTGACTGTTTTTACCGAGTTTTCTAATGTCTCGCCTTGTTTCCTGCAGTTCTTTCTTGTCACGCTTCACTCAACCCGGGGTGGGAATGTTCCGTGATTTTTCTCCTACGAAAGATATCTCGTATTTAACATTTGTACGATAGGTTAAATTTAACATATAGATCTTTATTGATTCCCCTTTAAGAATCAAATAAAAATTCACCATTTTACGTTTCCTCGGTCAACCTAGATTTTTTTCTTTTCTTCTCTAATAAAGTGAACGGTCACGATGCGTCGTCGTACTACGCCAAAGGCGACGACGAGTCGAAAAAGTTGACGGGGCAGGATCACCGTTAAGTGGAACATGTCGCCCCGTATCGTTCGCCGAGTGACCTATAAATTTTCCATACATTTATTCGAATTTTTACGAACGAACGGTAATGGTTCGCCTATTCCGATCAAAAAGTCATAAACATGTTAATAGCTGACATTTCTGGGTTCGTTGAACTACGAGCATAAAGTAAAGTGGTGTATGTATGTACCTGATTCTTCGAACTCCACATCTGTAAGTGAACCTTAATGTTCATTCTATGTATGAGTCATTTCGTGAACCCGTAGGCGTGTTTTAATGGGCCATTTGTAAACTTGAAACTCTGTTGAGATAATATTTAAAAATTCATTACGAACATGCTACGACGGTTCGTAGGTTAGAACGGTTTAACCGCTCGTTTCGACTCGTTTTTACGCGGGAAAACAATTCTATGGTTACGTAACAACGTCGTAAGAGTAATTGTACAGAATTACTGTCGATATTAAAGCGATCCACTGGCATTCCACAGGGAAAAGAAATTTCTGTACCGGTAAATGCTTAAAATATTCATTTCTACATTTCATTTACCTAACCTGAAAATTTTACCTCATGGTAATTGAAACGTTCCCGTATGGAACTCTTCAATTGAGAAATCCATTCGTGTCGCCGTTGAGAGCCACTCGATGTAAATGGAATATGTGTTCTGACTGTAATTGAATATTCTTTTTCCCATTCAAATCGAAGACGAGCAGTGGCGAGAGATGGATAACATTCTTCTAGGTGATTGAAGATGCTGCTGGTATCGTTCGTGAGAGGTGATAAAACACGTTTTCCTGATAAGTACCGACAGTCGCAATTACGGTTATCTACAGTTAAGGTCAGGGAAAAAAAGGTGTTCGGGTCTCGTCGGTCTAGTTTGCCAAGCTAGATCGCCGCACGAATGCATCTTCTAGCTGGTTCACTACAGAAAGACGCGGCAATGGCCGAGCCTACGCCCATCTTCAGACGGTATTATATACCGTTATATTATTTATAACGAGGAAACATATTTTGCCTACGCTTGTATGCTTTCCCGCCCTCTGTGTCCGTATTTTTCTCTGTCCATTCTCCTCTTCCTTCCTTCATTTACGATTACACAATCGTTCCTACGCGTCTCAGTGTTGATTATAGAAGCCAAGGATATTTGCTCGAGGATATTAAGTCCATTGGAGTTATTTATAAAAGGAGACAGGTGTCTGCCCTGGCTAGTTTATCAACTCATCGCGGCTCATTAGCCAGCTTTGAAGACGCCCGCCCTTTGATTACAGAAACCCACTTTATCGACTCTGCGGAATCTCCTCCTTTGAATCATTCTGATTCCTCACTTCCTTTATCGGTAAAAAAATCATATTTTGTATGTTTTCTCGTCAAAAAGTTGATGTTTCTCTTTCATTTCTACAATTATAAATACGTCGTATTTTTCTGTTTGATCCTATCGTTTTTTTATTTACTCTACTTGGTTATTTATCATAGTGGTCTCGAGTATCACGCTCGCGGACGTTCATGAAAAGGGAAGAATTCATTGCAGAAACTCTGTGGATAACTTTTTCTCAGAACTAAATGATTTTTGACGGTTTTAACGACCGTAGTACAGTGTAAAAGTTCGATACCCTCGCCGCAAGATGACTATAATCCGCGTTCACAAGGGATCCACTGTGTGTGCCAGGTTTTTCAGCTGACGGCTTGTATGCGGTCAAGATGGCTTCCGCGGAGCAGGTTGGCTTGAATAAAACTTGGGAATTGTCGCTTTACGAGCTTCATCGGACACCTCAAGATGCGATTACAGACAACACGGAAATCGCTGTTAGCCCGCGGAGTTTGCACAGTGAGCTTATGTGCCCGATCTGTCTGGACATGTTGAAAAAGACCATGACCACCAAGGAATGTCTCCATCGTTTCTGTTCCGATTGTATCATTACGGCGCTCAGGAGCGGTAATAAGGTACGTGATCCTTGTAAAATCGTTCATGCGTTGTAATTTAGAATTCTGTGCTTACGTGTACGGTGAAAATGGTTCCTGGAAGTTTCTTGTTCCGTCAAAAATAAGCGCGAACGTTCAGCGTAATACCCTGACAGTTTCTTTTTTTTTTTCAATGCTCGTATATGTCACACTGTCACATAAACACGAGATTGTTTTTCGTGCGTAGATTGGAATTGTAATTACGGCAGGTAGGTAGTAGTGTGTCAAGAGAATGGGAACAGTAGAACGCGAGTGCACTTTGCACCTGTTCTGTCAGATACCGTAGTTTTAGCGCGCTTTTCAAAGTGCGTTGTAAATGCTGCACCATGTTGCTCCATTCTATTTATATTCCGCCTGGATGATTTGGAATGTGAGATTTATTTGTTTTACTGAATTTGGGAACGTGTGGATTCATTTTTTAGTCAATATGGAAATGATTTCTATTTCTCACCATTCTGTCAACATTCAAAAATTATGATTATTATTTTTAGTTAATTGTTCGTATGTTTATTTTGCAATTCATTGTGAACTTGTGGTTTTGATGGATATTTCTTTGATTTCTGGGTGGAATTAGTGAGTTTGTGTTAATGGAGGTTAGAAATGAAATTTTTATGGTTTTTTCAGGAATGTCCAACATGTAGGAAAAAACTGGTATCCAAAAGGTCCCTCAGACCAGATCCCAATTTTGATTTACTCATCTCCAAGATATACCCCAGCCGTGATGAATATGAGGCACACCAGGAGAGAGTACTGGCAAAATTGAACAAATCTCATTCGCAGGCTGCATTGGTAAACTCTATTACAGAAGGGATCAAGTTACAAAGTCAAAATCGCCCGCAACGCTCTAGGAAAAATGCCAATGAGTCAGAAAATGCCAGCAATGCTACATCCTACAATAATTCTCAAAATGCTAGTGCACCAGCCACTCCAAATGCTGCTAATGCTGCAAACCAGAGTGACTCCTCTCAGAGCACAACAGGCCCTTTAAACAACAGTAGTGGAGGTAATTAAGAAATTTCCAATAGCTCTGCTGTTCAAAGTAATATTGGGTAAATTAATATAATACAAGTAGAATCACTATTTTCAGGTACCACATCCAGAAATTCTACCACACCATCACCAAACCCAGCAAATCAAATTCCCAAGCCACCAAAAAGGCAGAAAAGTCTACAAAACTCAGAGAACGATTCTTCTAGCGCTGAAGCAGAGACTGGTGGTGGTGATTCTATGGTAGATACAGAAGGAGAAGGTCCTAGTGAACCTTTAATGCTAAACGAGATCGAACTCGTTTTTAAACCACATCCCACGGAGATGGCCGGCGATAACTCGTTGATTAAAGCCCTCAAAGAGAATAGTATTCGATATATAAAAACGACTGCTAATGCGACAGGTGAATATTTCACAGAATTATACTTATTTAAGTCTAGTACATGATTTAGAATGATATCTATTAATTCTTCCAGTGGATCATCTGAGTAAATACTTAGCCATGCGACTAACCTTGGACCTGGACACAGAATTATCAGAATCAGATAGGTTACTGAACTTTTGTATCTACATAGCACCTTCTCCTGGCCAGTTGGTAGTGCTCAGTGGATCTCAGACGTTGAGACAGGTCAACGATAAATTCTGGCGCGTCAATCGACCCCTGGAGATGTATTATTCGTGGAAGAAGACCTAGGGAAGGCCTCGAAAATATCAATCTGACGGGAGCTAGTCGCGTTCAGCTCCAAACAAACATACAAAAAAAAAGTAAAACATTCGTACTGCGTGGAGTACAGAACGAAAGAAAACGCGTATTGTTATATCAGAAAATAAGAAAAAAGGAACGAGCGATATATTTTACTGTACTTCAATAGCCTTGGATTACGTTCAAGGAAGATGGAAGATACGGGGAGAAGAAGTTCCTCGTGAACGTCGATAGTGGTGCAATTTTTGGGACTGGTGTGCTGCCTCTGATAGAGGAACGAGTAGAAGAAACGGATAGGATTTTTAATTGAAGCTTTGTACAGCGATTAATTCTAAATGCAAGCAACAAAGAGTCTCCCGGATACTACATACTGCCATTCTCACCAGATTATTGCATTGCATCGCGAACGGATCGATGAGTTTTCACGTTCATCGAGCCGCGTCTAACATACTCATCAGACTATACCCTTTTTTTCACAGGTGTAAAACTAATCCGGTGCGCCCAATTTTAATAACCGACACATTCAAGATACGCCGACGGCCTCGATGGTTAAATAACTTATTTAAACAAGTCTCCGATTCGCTGTGGACCATTCTGTATAGTTTCAAGAAGAAATAAACCAACGTGTATATTATACATACTTTTTTGTCGAGAAGTGTGTTTTGAAGGAATAGAATTGATGGAAGAAAAAAAAAAGAATCTTCTTTTTCCTACTTAAGATAATCCAAAAGTTCCTCCTCCTTGATCCTACTTGATCTAAGTGCGTTCTTTGATATAGAAATCTAATTTTCTGTCACGTTAAAGATACACGAAAAGCCCGTTTGGCTTAGCAGACGGAATAATCGATAAGTGCCGAGACCCCATCCTGCGCCCTCTTGCATTTCCACTGAACCGAAAACAATGCGAACACTCCGGCCTCGGATAATGCCACCCTCTTTTAGTAAACGGGAAACCACATCGAATCGTTCGCCTGGGTCGTGCGATATCGGATTCCATTCTTTTCAATATTAACCATTAATATTTTCCGCTTCTTTCTCTTTTAAATTCATTTCAACGAAGGTAAAGCATGGAGTAATTCCACGAATCTTCTAGATCTCTTCTCTGATGAATTATCCTGTGAATACTTATCACTATTGTATTGTAATATCGCAGAATTCGCGGGTAGAAGAGGTTAGAATTGAAAAGGTTAGAGATAGACGGAAGCATGCAAGATAGAATATCCGGCGATTCGTCACTAGCCACTCGTTTCTCTCGTCCTTTTCGCACCCGTTCGTTAATTAATGAAGTCAAGGTTAGGTTAGATTCACAGGCGATCCTAGTAGCTAACATAATTACAGAGTGCTCAAGTAAGTAATAACATAGGCTTCTAATTAACACTTGAAACGAATCTCCGAGATGAATTTCCCGATCGAGCTGTCAGAACTTCTGATAATGCTCGATTGCATTAATAGCGAAATGCTAATTGCTCTATTCCTGTCTATGGAAAAAAAAACACACTCGTAATGAGCAACATTGTTGCGCGAGGCCTTCATTCTATTTTATATACATACATTTTAATTGCTCTTGTTGATACACACGGAAAACCGATGATTCTGCGATTTATATTCAAGTACACATTTTTTTACATGTTCTTCCAACATTTTACGATTTATCACTAATGGGTTCGTTGCTTTCCTTCGAATCTGTATCTTTCGCCTCGGTAGTAGAGGAGGATTCGTTTAACGACGAATTGAACGAAGGCTTTTCCTTTCCTAATAAATGTTCACATTCCTCGTCCTGTTCTTCTTGATCGTATTCACTCAAATCTTCCCACGAATTCTTCTCCGAAGAATCTTCGTCGAATATTTCCTTCGCCCTTTTATCCACGTTATCAAATTTCTCCTTAAGAAGTTTGTAAAGTTCGTCTGCTCGGAACCTGAAAATTCATCAGTCCCATTACACTCTCTAGAGACACCTTTTTTAATCCTGTTATTTATTATCGCAGCTGTACACCTGTGAATTATTCTTTCTTAATGGAAAAAGTCCATTACGTCTGGGCTCGAGTGTCTAACCTATTTTCTGGTAATGCCTGTAATCCCCTAACGGAATAGATCGAATGACGTAACGAGCTGGAGAATACTAACGGCATCTTATAAGGTTCCTTGTACCAGAGAGGGAATCCCGTGGGATTGTATCTCCCATCGGGAATCGAATTCTCGGCCGGCAGTGAATGCAGTTTGAAATGCGCCGGTTCAACCGTCTCCTCTAATAAGGCTGACACTTGTCGCGCGTATTCCGCCGTGCCAGCTGTTCGTTCCAGTCTGAGAATCGGAAAATCATTTTCCTTGTATCTTAATCGACATTCCAGGCGACGTACAGTCAGTGGAGAAACGTCAGCATTCGTGTTTAAATACGTGTGTAAATGATAAGTTTTAGCAAAACTTTGAAACAAAGGTAAAAATTTAGTAGCGTTGAATTTTGGATACTTCGATCTTTCTTTGTATATATTTTGCTTGATTATTTAATCAAAAAACATCGTTTTTCGTTGAATGAAACTTCCACTTTGGAAGACTATTGTTTAACCGATGACGCATTAAGCACGAAAGGTGTTATTGTTAGATCTTTAGTATGCAATGAACGAGTACGATGCTAAATGAATAGTATTGACGCGTTCAATACAGATGACGCATGAGTCATTTTCTTATGGTTTAAAGCTATTACGTTTTAATTTTTCTATGGCGTTCAGGGGTCACGTGTCTCGCAGGTGATTCGTTTCTTCATTTCAAAAAGCATTAACCAATCACAGTCGCAGATAGAATATCGGATTACAAGCTTTAATTTAGAAATGTTTTTTGAATAAACCGATATTTCTTATACACACAAATACTCATAAATAACTGTAATTATACAATTTCAAAAAATGTATTACACTAATACATTTTTTAATATGTGTTCCGTAAGTCACGAACTAAAGGTGATTTCGTTTCATGCGTAGCGAACCAGTAGTGAAAGTATTGCGTAATAGTGATTTGACAATGTGTAGTGCTCGTTCGAAATATGTGTAAAGGGATGTTAAAGTGTCAAGAATTCAATCCTATCGACAGTTTTCTTTAATTAAATTCTTTCATGTGACACTTTAACTTCGTTTCAATGTTCTGACAAGACTTGTATTAATTCAGTTGAACAGCTAACAAAAGTGTACATTTATCGAGTGTGTATAGATCTTTGTCACTGACTGTATTCCTTTATTTACTTCTGAACCATCTGCCTGGTGAATTCCAGTCTCGGCGTTGTTTTGTAAGACGAGGCGGTGGATTCCAGGAAACTTTTTACTCTACCGGGTTGAGGTTTATTCGCACTTGCTTGAATCCCGTAGAAATTGCCAAAATGCGCAGCAGCGTCTTTCGGAAGGTTCGACGTTAATCTCCTATCATTCGAAAGTTTGTTTTTCACCGGGGGTTCAGAGTTTGACGAGCTTTTCGAGAACTGAGATTTCTGCTTCCTCTCAGTGAACCTGGGAACGATCATAATTGCCTATTACAGTATAAGTACGGCTTAAGGTACGAGTTGTTAAGCGTCTGCGCGTCCTCTACGAGCTCGTTTATTCTTCGTTACGTTCAAGTGCTTTACTCGAATCGTTCTTTAACGCACTCGCTAATTACGCAGATTGATATCTTAATAAATTTGTACCCAGTAATTTTCGAGTTAACAATACATCAAAATCCTTGAGATCAAAAGTGAAGTATAACGACAAATTCACTTGTCAGTTGATCGAACAATACGCAAAGACGCCATATGTTTAACTGCGCAATATTTCCATATGTTTCATAATTTTTTTCACAGATTCAAGGATACGTTAATAAATGCATGGAAATGAATCGAGTTTATTCTTGGACAGCCAGGCTAACTGTAAAGAATATTGCAAGAAAGTTTCATATATCGATTACGACAGTTAACCGTGCAAAAACTGGCGCATAATCAAGCTGGACGCTGTACATGTATATCTGCACACACGAAAAACCCTAACGACCTCGGTACGATTAATTGTCTATTACCGCGGAAGCAATTTCTGACATCCATTAAGTTCACCGGCTCCTTCTTAATTACCGTCATAATCTGTGGAATCGTGGTGCAGGCGATAAGAGAAGCGTTGAATAAAAAACGTTCAGGCTCAAATGGGTCAATGCATTTGGAATGTATGAAAAACATTCGCCACTAATCCGACCGCTACCGTTTGATCCTGTACGCAACGATTCATACACGTACCGTTACGGAACATTTATTTCCGTTACGTTCCGCGGAAAAACGCGAGTGTATCGGTTAATTCATCGTGACAGGCAATTTGCGGCAGATCGGTATATGAATAGGAGAGGGTTAACGCGGAAAGAGCTTCTCTCGTAAAAGTCGTACAGTCTCCGGTGTGTGTGTGTGTATATGTATTGGCGACAATCGCGTCGAATTGCATGAATTATTCATTCGAACGAATTACACCACACGGATATTGAGAATGCAACTGGTACTACTTTATAATTTCCGGTTTTATAACGCGACGTGAATTGCGATATTGGAATAATAACGGCGAGGCCTTGAAATCTTTGAAAGAGAATCATCGTATTAAACTCTTTAATTATTCAGCTCTTTAACTCTTCCACTCTTTTGCGATGGTAACGATAAAGAAAGGTTTGTGATCTCGAAAAAGATGATCCCGTTAATTCTTTAATCCTTTGAGCACTCTGACTCTTTAACTCTTTAACCCTTTGACGACTTTTTAATTCTTTAACCCTTTAGAATGGTAATTCTTTTCTTTTTTCTTTTCAGAAATGAACGTCAAGAGGAAATTGTTAATCTAAATGGAAATTATTCTGCAACTCACTTTCGAAATTTGCCGACGAACGACGGAGACGCGTATAGGTTATCCGATCTAGCAGATTTCTTCTGCGGATTCTCGGAGATGCCGGTGGCAGATTTAACTTCAGATTTATTATACATATTCTCCACCGACCATCGAACTCTTCTTCTTCTAACCAATTTATTCAATTAATCTTACGATAACCACCAGAATTTTTTCAACACTGACATTTTCTTGTTTACAGACGTTGTCGAGTCGTTTTGTGAGTTGTCCTTCGATTGGAGAAAAATACTCGCTGCGGCGAAGCGTTACAGGGGACACGTGGCCATGATCACGAGATTAATCCGTGAAACACGCGTCCACGAACGTTTTAACGGAATTAGATTGGTACATGGTACACGTAGCAATCGTTTTAATGGAGCTACATCGATATAAAAGGGCATACTTTTTTTTTTTCTTCTATCACACGTATACAGGTCTCCGCATTGGCCGCAATTAACCGCACACTCGTTCTCGAAGCGTAATCGTATGGTTCGGAATGCGGTGTAAAAACGTCTAAGAAATTATAATCACCGAGTATGCAAAGTGCATCTTATGGCTCTTTTACGAGCTTTTCGAAGACCTCGATTGCTTTCTTTTTTTTCTTTTGAAATCTATAACTGATTTATTCGACCTTACCAGCCGAGGTTGTCTTTAGCCGAGTATCATAATTAATTACAGCAGAGGAGGAGTGAATGTTAATAAGCGTTTTCTTGTGGATGCTGGAGCACGCGTCAAGTAGAGACAAAAAGATGACGTGGTGAAATATCGTTGTCTTTATGGTGGAAGGAGAGTAGAATTTATTGTGAAGACTTTACTTATGTAACGATGAACTAAGCTTAAATTATCACAAAGTCTTAAGGGGATGAAATTTTATACAACTAAACAAATATTTCTAATGTTTAATATTTTAAACAGAATTTTCATGTTGGATATTTTCACACAAATATTTCTCATTTTTCAGGGTTCAGGATGAAGTAACTCAGCCTTACCAATATTTCCCTATCCACTCTTATCCAAAGACAGACGTTATATTTCATACATACAAATTTTATCTGATTGACAAAAAATGGGGAAATTTAAAACGAAGGAAGATTACGCTCTCGCAGACTATATCGCAAAGAAAGCTTCACAGAGGAACGACTGTGGTCAGTTCGAGGGAGAAAAAAGTCGGGGACTAGGGTGGAAGCAGGGAACGAAACGGGTGGACACGAACCGTGGTGGAGAGTCGAATGTATCGCGGTTAAAAAGGGGAATAGAAAGCGTGGCGGCGCTTATTTACGATCGAAAAGAGCGAAGGCTGGCCGGGTTCGCTTCGAATTCGTGCACGCCGCGAGAAAAGGGAGCAAAACCGCGTCGTGCGATGCATATCTTATGCACGTGCCATGGAAGAAAAAGGAAAAGGGACCACACCATTGGTCCTGACGCCCCGGCTACAAAATTATTTATTGCCCTGTGCATCGAGAAATGTTAAATATTTCAAAAGGTTCAAAAGGCCTTCACAAGCATTTCCTTACCGTGTTTTTATTTCATGTCCTCTCTTTATAATGTATACAGTGGAGATTTCCATGGAGAGAAGAATCAGGTTCAATCAAGTGCAAACATTCTTATTAGTATCTTTATTGTAATATTTTCTACTCAGAGAATTTCGCTCTTGTTTAACATCTGGCACTGGAATTTTTTTTTACTATTGTGTTCAGTAAGACTGCCTTTTGTATGTGTGAATGGATGTATGTTCTGTAGGTTGTTTTTGCGAAAGTCCTGTGGTGTGATGTCTGTGACTGAAATTGTAAACACTACGATTGTTATTCCGTTTGGCTTTCGTATGTTTTGGTTTTTCTGAACTAACGACGTGCGTTTTTTTTTTCATCTTCACCGTATATTCGGTTTTTATATTTTTGTCGTTTGGTAGTACTACGTTTATAAGGTGTATAATTTCATTTATCTCGTCTATTACAGGATTAGAGAAACCATCATTCCAGCTTCATCGATGCAGGCAAAAAGATCGGACTGTTCTGAACGATTTAGCCCTGACATAAAAAGTAATTTTTTCTAAAAGCTGAGGACAGCATGTAATGCTACTAATCGAAAGATGAAAAAGAGATCACAAGTAGCCCAACGAGTTTATAATTATTTCACACCGATTACACAGATTCCAGTGTTAGAGTGAGGTTGAACAATTTTTTCCAAACTGGACACATACCTGCTAACTGTTTCTCTCTCTCTCTCTCTCTTTCGTTCTCGTTGATAAGTAATCCTCTTGAGAACCTTGTACAAGCCTTGTGGCCCGGTTTCCATATCTCGTATTATACTACGTTGTGCAAGACGCACGGTGTACACCGTGGAAAAATTCGATTTACACATAAAGGGCGTGTTTGCTTATGGTTGTTCCGTGATGACGAAGGTTGATGAAAAGTTAGGTGAAAAACCACCACTTGGAAAATGTAACATTGGTAAAGATAAACCTTTCTCTGTGCATTAGAATTTTTCAACCATCGTTTATTCGAGAATTTTCTTACCGTACACTTAAAATGTATCAATTAACGATAAAGTTTGAATTTCTTCCTCTCAGATATGGAACTATCCTGCCCCTTTCTCCAAAGGCAATCGATAGGCCTCTTCAGAACGAGAGGTCCTTTGATCACTCTGGAATTTCTCGGACGAGCACTTTTCTAAGTAACGCCTCGAAAAAAGTAACGACACTGAATAAGCGTTGATTGGATTTGCGAACGATTGGCTTCGTCTAGCTTGAAAAACCATAAAGATTCTCTTGGTTCTTTTTTCCACCAGCCGAAGACTTTAATTAAACTTCCAGCTAGCCGAACGTTCGTTCTGGTATTTCTACGCTTCCCTGATGCATTATCGACATCTGTTCGACTAGATTTCTTTTCAAAAAGTGAACCATATTTCGATGTAGCACGGTTCTACTTTTCCACGTTCACGAAAATGTCTCGTGTCGACAGATAGTATTTCGTGGAAGTGTGATTCATTTCACTTGGCTCGACGGAAAGTGTACTGGCGTGGGTGTGGTATACCATAGGTTCTGGTAAATGCGATGCTATTTTCGAATAGAAGCAATAAAGATGCCTGAGGTGTAACACGTGTGTGTTTTTGAAGGGAATTCGAGAAATTCGCGCGATATAACGGGTATGCAATTTTCCAAAGGGAAGTGTATGCGCGTTGTAAATGGTATTGGCCGAGATAGAGACATCATCGAGTTCCGTGTAGTGCTTATAATTCATGTTTTACGAGTGCAACGGCATTCTCGGCTCGGTTACAGATACACGCGGATATGCAGAACGAGCGCATGGCCTGATGCGAGCATGCACTGTGGGAAACGCTCGGTTGTCCTTTCATATGTTACAAACTATATTGTGTACCGTTGCATCGGCCGTAATCGGCGAACATTCTAGCTTCTTTACACTGTTGCTGTGACAAATTTGAAATTGCATCAAACTGTCTTTTGCTTTCTTATCGAATCAGTCAATTCTCAAAATTCCTTCGAAGTTTCTTTAACTTCCGAATGAAAAAAAATTGTTTAGTACAGTTACCGACAGGTATTTTAATTCGTTTTTTGAGAATTTAGAATTTAAAATTTAGAAATTTTCGAGAAATTTGACGAAAACGAAAAATTTGTAACTTTTTAATTTCTAAAGAAATAAATCTCTCGATTTCTGACAAATTTTTGTCAACAGTATTTTTATTTGTTATTTTAAGGATTATGTAGAAATTGAAACATTTCGAACATTTGAAAATCACAGATTTCCCACTTCGTAACAAGTGAACACATTTCGACGCGACACTCGAGAAACCACAGATGGCGAAAACTCTACAGAAGTGCATACAAGGTGGAGGAATGCACGCGAGGATGCACCTACAAAAGTCATGGTGGAACCTGTATTTACTGATCTTAATTAGGGATAAAACGTAAGGGTTGAAAATGGTAGGGTCGCGAGTTGACAAGAATCGGCTTTTCGAATGGGACTTCGGGCGTCTTCGGTGGTTACCGACACTCTTCGTGCTACTCTTAACTCGTGCTCGTGCTGCCTCGACTCAGTCGTTGACGCGCGCTCGTTTGGTTTGCTTCGGGTATTAATGGTGCTTCAACATCCGCAAGGGAACTTCACGGTCCAAATACGACATAAAGGAACCTGTGCTTGACCTGCATTTCATTCTCATCAGTTCTTCGTCGCGACATGTGCACTATTGCAAGGTAAGAATCGCGTTCATTCGACTAGCGAAGAGATTTTTACGTAATCCTGCATTTAACCTATTCGTCGTAAAAATGCGACAACACAACATTCCGTAAATATTAAGTACTCGGTACTAGCTCGTAAGGTATTAGCTTTTCTTAAAATTTTGGAGAAGAAACTTTGGAAAACATCGTGGGACGTCCTCAGATACGAAGAACCTCTCAACAATTCTTGTTAATTCCTGCGACTTGAGGAAACACCTAATCACATCGTTTCCTGTTTCGATCCTTCAAATGTCCTACGCCCTACGACTCGCTATCGATAAGATACACACACAACGTATATATACACATATTTCCGTGAACGTGGTACAAAAAAAAACTCTCGCGTGCACGCCTCGAAATCACGAACGTCTCCTGACGTGTTGTCAAACAGTTAACTCGCGAAGTTCATTCATGTTGGTGTGACGGTTCCGAGGGAGGAGTTAGTGCTCTCTTGTTGAGCAGGGAGTATCGAAAATCCATAATACGGACGAGTGGCGTAATAAATCTCGTTGGAGTCTCTCACCGTGGCGATTCTCATATATACATTTTAATGCTGCTGCATTAGCAGTCGATCTCTGTTCTTATATTGGCAACGGTTGATATTGATTGGCCGCGGTCGCCGTTCAGAACGCATCCGCCGTTTTTTTAATTTTATCCACAAATGATGGATAGGGCAAGTTGGAGAATGCAACTGCAAATATTTGTGCCGGATAGAGTCTATTCGATTGAATTTGTTGTAGTCTCGCGACGAACGGCGCCGTGTAGCCTCTATCCCGGAGCCACGGTCAATATTGACTCTGGCTCGAGCCAAAGCCCATCGTAATAAATTATTGACTTCGTGGAAAGCGGACGACGAGGAGAATTGAGAAGGTCCTGCGGTGATCTGCATTAATCGTTAGATATCCTACGTTCCCCTTCGCGTGCGTGATACTGTTCGCCATACGGCTCGGGAAATTGCGCAACACGTAAATCACTTTTATAGCGGGGATTATCGTACCGCTCGACGTGGCAAATATTGATATAATCGCAGGGAATTGATCGGTGGAAAAATGACCGACTGTATTTCGGACGGAAGTGTATGGATTTCGCGAAGTGTATCGTAACGTCCACGTTGGACATGTAAGTGCACTGTGCACTTTTCTGTTGGGTCCGTCGGCACTCGATACGCCGCGATTCGGAGGGGTCGCCCACGCAACGAGCACGCACGAGACGCACACACACACGCAGATTGTGTGTAACAGCGATTTACGGTAAGGGCACCGTCTGCTTTGTGTGTTAGTCACCGACCCATAGGGGGTGAAAAAGCTGCCAGGACTGTTCGTGCGTGCGCGGGTGGGGGAGGGGGGAAGGAGAAGGAGAAAAAAAGCGAGAGAAAGAAAAGGTGGCACCACTCACACACGATCGGACGTGTTAAACAGGCTCGACGTGTTTACTTTTGCATATACACTCATCTATACTCTCTTTCTCTCTCTTTCTCTGCACATTAAGGGCATAACCATTCTCGTCGCGAATTATTACACTCGTTGAGCTCTACTTTGTCGAGCGTTTACTCTCTTTTTTTCCCTCAATTGTGGCGTGGTTAATCCTGATCGCTGTTAATCAGCTTTCTTAGTTGAATCGATTTTGAGGTTATCCTTCCGCGAAGTGTTGCTTTGGTAATTGATTCAGAGAAGAAATAAGAATGATTACGTATGTACTTATTGCAGTTTGTCCACTCTGTTTCGCAATTATTTGTTGTACACGGTCTACGCGATCTCTCGCAACAGGATACGTGCGGTTATTAGAGGTTATCGTGCGTTCCACGCTGCGAAATAAGATCGTTCGCATGAACGGCGATATGTATCTGTGAAAGCCAGCCTAACGAGTAAATTACTGAAACGATTCTCGTCTTCTTTTTTTTACTATCCGTGGTCGATTGCCATTTACGCGATTACTCATAAAAATCTTCCGCGAGACGTAGAAATATAAAGGCTGAGTTACGAGTACGTAGACCTAACGTTCGGTTGTAACGAGGCCCTTCGAGGAACGCGACTCTACTCACTGGTTAAACCCAGGTCAGGAGCTCGCGTCAAACCGCTAATATACCGGTAAACGTAACCACTCTCCTCTAGTTCCATGGTTCGCGCGGCCTTTCCGATATCTATTTACCCGTGGAGCGAAGACGAAGGAATACTGTGAAAAGGGATCGGGACGGTAAAAATAAAGACGATCTTCGAAATGCTTGTACGTGTTTGCTCGCACAGGCTACAACCATTTCCAGGCGGCAGGTCTATTTGTTGAGAGACCCTCGTTCGTATATACGTAGGAAAGGAGGAGAGAGGATCGAGAGAGAATACGAGGGGTGGCAGTAGTTCGATTGGGACACGCGATATATTACGTGCTCGGCACGTACGTGCTGACTGCTTCGTACATAAGTAGACATAGGCATAAATAGCTGGTTTCTGCGCGTGTAAACTTGATCTCTTTCTCGCTCTTGCTCTCTGTACGTATTTTTGTGCGTGTTTGCGTGTGTGTGCGTGCGCTTGGGAAGAAAAGTAGTCAGAGTGAGAAAGGCACGTGTGTAATGCGAGCACGCGCATTTCAACGATTTCTGATCTTTCTAATTCTTCTATTTCTTCTCTCTGCTCTCTCGCCTTCCTGGTTCAGGGGTGTCAAAAGAGTTCCTCTCGAGATTATAAACGGCCTTTAGCTGCGAGTTGGTTTTACCCTTTGATTCTTGTAACCCCGTTGAGCTGATTCTTCGCCTCTGACAGTGTCGCTGATAGACGCCATAATTGTTACAGGCGTTAGAATTTTATAATAAGAATTTTCGGAATAATTATTTTTCGTGGTTCGGCATTGATCGAACCGCCTGTAGTTTGTTCTCTATTAACATAGACACGCACGCGTCAGTCCGGTGATTGATCTATGGATTTATTTGATAGATAAATAGTCGACGCGGATGATTTATCATTTTGCGAGGAATCTCTTATTTGACGTTAAGTATCGTTCAGCTTTCAAACTGCTGAATGTTAGCTAGACGATGTCTTTGAGGATTAGATAGCTCTCTCTTTCTTTCTCTCGAGCGTGAACCCGTGTCGAGCAGTGATTAGCGGCAATTAGTCTAAAGTAAACCGTCCATGACGATGCAAATAGAGAAATCTTGTGGTACGAGACGAATCGCAAATAACAGGGGTCTGTCTTGGGATTCCTCTTGCCTCGGGGCTATGAAAAAAACGACCCTGACGAAAACATCTTAACCCTTTAAAAAGTGTGAGAATAATTAATTCGTCGAAATTGAGATAAATGAATATTTCAGAGATTCGAGAATTTAATTATAGCGATCGCTCGGAGAGACACGTCAATTCTCTTCCTGATGCAGTGTGACTTTATGCCACAGATTTAATTCAACAATTTTTTCCAAACAAAGTAAATTTCGTTTTCACGAACGACCGAGGAGACTTCTTATTATATTCGGGTGTAAGCCGTGTCCTTATGGAAAAGTGTTCCTTATGGAAAGAGTATTCCTTATGGAAAGAGTATTCCCTATGGAAAAAGTATTCCCTATGGAAAAAGTATTCCCTATGGAAAGAGTATTCCCTATGGAAAAAGGGTTCCTTATGGAAAATCTTTCCTTATGGAAAGAGTATTCCCTATGGAAAATCTTTCCTTATGGAAAAAGGATTCCTTATGGAAAGAGTATTCCTTATGGAAAATCTTACCTTATGGAAAAAGTATTCCTTATGGAAAGAGTATTCCTTATGGAAAGAGTATTTCTTATGGAAAGAGTATTCCTTATGGAAAAAGGGTTCCTTATGGAAAAACTTTCCTTATGGAAAAAGTATTCCCTATGGAAAATCTTTCCTTATGGAAAAAGTATTCCTTATGGAAAGAGTATTTCTTATGGAAAAAGTATTCCCTATGGAAAAAGGGTTCCTTATGGAAAAACTTTCCTTATGGAAAATCTTTCCTTATGGAAAGAGTATTCCCTATGGAAAATCTTTCCTTATGGAAAAAGTATTCCTTATGGAAAGAGTATTTCTTATGGAAAGAGTATTCCTTATGGAAAAAGTATTCCCTATGGAAAAAGGGTTCCTTATGGAAAAACTTTCCTTATGGAAAATCTTTCCTTATGGAAAGAGTATTCCCTATGGAAAATCTTTCCTTATGGAAAAATTATTCCTTATGGAAAGAGTATTTCTTATGGAAAAACTTTGTTTATGAAAAAGTAGGTATTCGTATTTCACAAACCCTAACGAAGCAAGCCACAGTTTTCACAAAACATCGGAATACTTTTTCCATAAGAACACTGCTCACACCACGAAATCCTCCATAACAATTATACTGAAGCCTCCGTTGCAAACGTTTCATCAACCCAAAGCACGAATCCTCATCTTTCCTCCCCGATTTCATTTTGCATTACCGTATAAAGGTGGATCGTGCGTGGATTGGGAAAATCCGCGAAACATCGATCCAGGCTATAGTTACGGTACACAGCATCCTTTGGTGAATATAGTGACATAATAGGCAAACGTCCAGGCCGATGCACCGTTATGCAGAATGGTGCTGAGGTCAAAGAGCCGGCGTCTACACCACACGGATGGATAGGAGGGAAAGAAACGGAGTCTGCGATGCGTTGGGTGGTTGTTGTTAAATCGGATATGCTCGTTCGTTCGGCTGTGATTCTCACTCATGAATATTTGAAGAGTCCGACAGAGATCGTCAGATATGCCGGTGAAGTACTCTCTATGTATACATATACACCTATATGCAACGAACGGAGGAAAAGTTTGGCGCGGCAAAACAAAAGCATCACGATCGTAAAGACCTCTCTCTCTCTCTCTCTCTCTCTCTCTCTCTCGGTTTTGCTGTGCAGCGTTCGAGTTCGTTTAAACGACAGTAATGACGCATGCCGGAGGATGCAGTAATAAGTGAGCACACAGAGGATGGAAAGAGGATGAAAAAGACTCATGGTTAGCTAAATATAGAGGCATCGT